TCTCTCTCTCTCTCTCTCTCTCACTGTATACCTGCAATGGGAATCTCCTCGACCTTCTGCGTGTACTCGCGGTGTCCGCTCTAGATGGCTCTGTATTATCTGTGAACGGAACGGGACGTGGAGGACCAGGGATTTTTCGCTCTTAACAAAGCTGAGGATATTCAACTCAAATGTAAAAGTCTTGGTATAGAATGATATGGAAGTGAGATATTAAGGAACGCGTCCAAGGGGGTTATAAATAGAATATCAGACTTGCATAAAGAGGAGTCAAGTTTTCTTGAACAAGACTCGTTTTTAGTAGAGGTTTTACAGCGCTCGAAACTGCATAAGGTCATATGAGCGCCAGAAGATTAGAGGTGTTACAATAGAGTAACAAACATAAAAAAGAAGAAGGGGAGATAGGACGATAGTTGTTTGATAGGAAAGAAGAAACAAACAGAACAAGTGTCTGAGAAAGTTTCAGGGGATCAAGGGGAAGGCCACGAAGAACCTGGGGAAGTCGCAGAAAATGATGCACATGTACTTAGTTTAGTTTTAGTATGAGTTTTACGGCATTCTCCCCTCCTCCTTTTTACTGTTTGTTAGTCTCTTGTCACACTTCTAGTCTTCGGCACTTATATGACCTTATTGTGTTGCAAGTGCCGGGAAACTCTTACTAAAACTTAAGCTAACGTCCATCCGATTGGACCGAGCTTTGTGTAAAGCACCTTTTTCAAAGGACTCACCATTAGACCGAGCTACGCCTCGAATCCGTATTCACACGACTACAAGTCCAGCAGATTAACTGCAACTGTACAGTACAGAAAACACTCTCTTGTGTACGTTTGACAAAAATCAATGAAGTTGGAATGAGTTGGAAAAACAGAATGCCTTATTCTAAGGTACCGAATTTGTCGACGTTCATGTGAAACATTATATATAGAATCTAGATATCTGAATGAAACTTCTATTTTTTAAATTTTTTTTGTAAATGGCAAATTACCGTCAGTATTAATACCGGCATCGGGTTGGCTACCTCAATTTTCTGTGCATTTTAAAAGCTTTTGTACATTGGTTTATTTTTTTTTTTTTAATGAAACTGGTTTGTTCCTAATTGGGAAAAGTTGTCACAGTAACTTACTAAAATCACTAAAATGTTATGATTTCTTGTTCTTTTATTCACTGAAGGAGAAATAAGCTAGATTTTTTCATACTAGTACATGGGTATGAGGTTGAATGTGCCC